TAAAGGTTAGAACAAACAATATCACAGTGTTTGGGGTAATTAAAAGCACTAGTCTCACTGATAACCTTTTTTTTTCTAATAATTTGTTTCTAACAAATGGCTCATTAGCAACCACCGTGTCCATAAATTCATCTTTGTATCAACGTCTTGAAATAAGAGAAATATGAAAATAGGCCTTTTCAGACTATAAAAGAACACAAAACCAATAACGGCAAACTACTCTACTATCAAATAATAAAATACACGTGCATAAATGAAATCCATTTTTTAATAGCATTACATTCTGTCCAACATGTGAATTATGTTCGATTGATTAAACATCCCAAACTTCAGCAACTAAGGAATAATCAACTTCTTCAAGAAGTTTGTCAAACTGTATCTGACAGAAATCATACTCAAATTCAATCAGCCTATTATTAACAACCTCTAATGTTAAATTATATGGATCCTCAAAACTAACCCTTTTGCTACGATACATTACTGCCTCATTCATTTGATCAGTATGTAACTGTAAAATTTTAGACGTCACATACTTCTGCAGAATATTATATATATTGGGAAAAAGTCATCCAGGAATACTTGATATCATATATAATGCTGTTTTTTCATGCCAAGCTACAAACTGACCAGCAAATTGTTCTTCTGCAATGCGTGATTCAATTCGGTTAAACAGGATATGAAGTTCTTTCATTTATAGTCCGTTTGATTACACCGTTTATTGATTCAGATTGTTGGGTAGACATTATCCCTGCTGTAAAAACCCGACTTGTAAATGCTTTTGCCCAGGTTGTTTTACGTGGATCAAGCTGTCTAAGTAGATATTCAGTTGATTCTGGAAAATCAATCATAAGTTGTTTTCAGTATTCCTCAAATGTTTCTTTATATAAAACATTTCAGGCATGATAAATGCTTTGATAAAGTCTGCATAATAATCATCAAGAAGCTTTGCAAGCTGCTTTTCAATATTACGCCCAATGTGCTAAACACAATGAAGAAGGTAGGTATCAGAGTATATTTCAGGAACAATGCTTTCAAGGCCTGGATCTGCATCAATCATAAAAGCTCTGGGCTGAACTCCTGTAGCTTCGATTGTTTGCTGTAGAACCCATCTATAACTTTTACTTGTTTCATTGGGCAATATTGCCTGTGCAACAATTTGTGATTTGAAATTATTATCTACAATAGCAAAAATGCTTAATGGCAGTTTATAGATGTTGGTCGCTGCTGTATTATCATTTAAAATGATATCTGCATAATGTCACCAAAGTTCTTGTTGTTCAGGGGTCATATAGAATATACCTTGTAATCTATTTGTTTCTAGATCAATTAATGATTGAACATACCAATCAGGATTCTTGGTACGTTCTTTTTCAAAGTGTTGGAAAAGCTTTGCGGTATTACACCCCTGTATATCATAAGTACGACGAACCTTATACACATAGTTTTTCACATCATAGTTCACAATTGTGGCATCAGGAAATAACCCACAGAGTAACCGAATCTGGGATGAGACATCAATGTCACAAATTGTATAACTTTCAATAAGCTCCTTCATATCTGTAGTAAGTTTCCAATAGCTAGTAGCAAAGGTAGCATTTTCAGGAATCAACTGATGGTTGTGTTCAGGATGCATCGATGTCAATTTAATTATAGTTTCATTATCAGGGCCCTTACTCTTGTACACATTTACCAGAAAAGGACAACCAATCCTTTTGAACACTTATTTCTTTGCTTTTTGGGTAGAGCAGTTTTACGTAAGACATATTTACTAGACTGTTCACAGTCCCAGGTACGCTGTCATGGATCACAGCTATTATCTACTCATTTTTTTCTGATCGCAAAGTTATTTTGATATGCGTAACGTTCTAATGTCTCCTGATATTCTTTTCAAGTTCCAAAGGTTTTTCCACAGTAGATCTCAATGCAGATTGGAGGTAGGTGCCTATATTGATAATTATCTGTATTTTTAGAGATATCATCTGATTCACTAATCATATCAATGTCCTTTTCAAGTTCAATACCAGGTTCATCTTTAGGTTCAATACTAGGTCCATCTTTAGTATCCTTTTCACGTTCAATTGCAGATCCATCTTCAGTATCCTTTTCACGTTCGAAACCAAGTTTACCTTCTATTTCCTTTTCAAATCTTAAATCATTATTGCTTTCAATTCTACCATATTTAACGTTCTCAATTCCACAATATAAACTTTCATGTATTAACGGTGAAATATTTTCTATACTAGCCAAGGGTCTTTGTGTCATTAAAAAAAAGAGTGGGTGCCAGAATAATGAACGATTTTGTTGTATAGTTGGAAAAAAAAATAAAATTAAGTTAAAAGGAACTGGAAAAGTTCTGTTCACAAGAAAAAAGTTGCTTATTTAACTTTCAGAAACTTTTAGCTACCACAGTACTAATCTGTCATAAATATATATATATATATATATATATATGTTACATATATATATTAAAAAAAAAAAAAAAGGGCGAGAGAAAGTGCGAAATGCGAAATGCAAGAGCACAAGTGCGAAAAGCAAAACAAGAAAAAGCGAGATAAGAATGCTTGAAGGCGCAAAAAACGAGATGAGAGAATGAAGAACAAGATATGAGAACGAAAAGTGAGATGAGAGAACGAAAAGCGAGATGAGAATGCACAAATAACGAAAAAGAAGGTGTGTTACGGTAAGGTTAACCTCTTTCAAAGAATGAAAGCTATGCAGTAAAGAAAAAAAAAGGTTATCAGTGAGACTAGTGCTTTTAATTACCCCAAACACTGTGATATTGTTTGTTCTAACCTTTA